GAACAGAGAGGCCTTGCCTGCCCTGCCGGGAAATGTCACTCTCAGGAGACAGCGCGCCCTGAGGCACCAGGCTGCCCCAAGCGCTGGAGACACGAATCATTTTTTTTCTGCTGTATATTATCTAGTTCTCTTTGCAGATTTTTTTCTTCTTTTGAGAAAAATCATCCTTTACAAAGATCAAAAAAAATGTTTTTTGCAGCCTTCCTAGGCGCCTGGTGGCTTTGTGCCTCAAGCCTTTGATGCCCTGAGCTAAAGGGTGTGATTAAAGGAGGTGCCGCTGTGGGAGCTGCCGCAGCGCTGCGGCACTGGCACTGGCGCAGTGTGACGATCATGCAAAAATGCATTGAATAATTTCAGAACAAATTCCTTTTTTATTGCATCTACCTCACTAATGTTATATTTGAGCTCCAGAGCTGGGTCTTGGTAATGGAGCTCTGTGGTGCATAACTAGAAACTGACACACATTAAACACATAACATATGTTAAGGAGGTTTGGGATTATCTTTTTTTTTCTTTTTTTTTTTCCTGTAATTATGTCTTAAAGTAGTGAATTTTTTATTTAATCAAGGATGCCTTGCTCTTACTGAAACAATTGCTTATGTTAGATTTCCAGAAACACCCTAAGTGCAGCATTTGTTGCTTCAAGAAACATCCATGCTTCCAAAACATGCTTTCAGAAAACTGGTGAGTCTAAAAATACATATATATATATGTATATATAGTTCACATTTGCACATAAGAGTACTGTTTAAGAACTTGTTCTGTCAAGCTAGTTAATTTAGAGAAATAATTAATAGTAAAACACAATGTGAATTCGGAGCAAAAGGTGTGCACATCATTTGACAAAACCCTTAGGGACAGTGATTGATACTGAACTAGCAATTATGGAGTGTTATTTGTGAACCCTTATTTTAGATTTTGGTAACTGTTTAAAATATGCCCAAATAAGGGGAGTGATCACATGTCAAACTTGGCTTATTCAGTTTATTTGCTTCACAGGGTTTCAATTCTGATGTTAACTCCTGCAAAATTATCTTAAGGAGCCTGAAATTTCAGCTTTGTATTTGCTTTAGAACAGTAGAGGGGGGTGTATGACCTTTCAAGTGTTCTTGTGTTTGACCTTGTGTCCTTGAACGTAACTTTTGTACTGCTAGCATCTTGGTATTTAAAGAATACAATCAGCACCAAATAACTGGTTTTGGTAGTTGTTCATATATAATTTTTGAAGGGGTTTAGGTCACTGAAGACAATACTGGGAAATGGACGTTTGAGTGTTCCCTGTTATTGTTCCCTAACGGAGGGAATTAAAACTCATTGGAGACCTACTGCCAAATAGAAATTGGGAGGAGATGGAGAATGCTTTTCGTAGGTTATATTAACTCATTTCTTAGATGTACTAAATGTGTAAGTGTATTGGATCTTGGTTAAAAATGAATTGAAAATATTTTGTGATGCTTACAACATATATGTTTTGCTCGCAGAGCTAGTAGTTTTGTACTTTCTGATCTAGGTCTATTTTATTTAGTTGAATGTCTTTTCTGGTGGACAGGTTGTAGGATATTGAAGGACACAGATTTTTAGTCATGAATGGTGGTTCCTAATGATGAGATAAAGCTGACTCTGAATGTGAAAGATGTCACTTGCTGATTGTGTCTAAGGAAGAGCACTTGTTCTCATGTATCTTAAACAGCTGATGATGAGCTTGCTGATTTTATACTGCACGTTAATGTGCTGGATCTGATTTGGAACATTTTATTTCCAGGCACTGCCGAGGTATCCTCAATTCTTGAGGAACGCATTTTGGGAGCTGATACCTCTGCTGAGCTTGAGGAAACTGGCCGCGTGCTCTCAATTGGTGATGGGATTGCCCGTGTGTATGGCCTGAGAAATGTCCAAGCAGAAGAAATGGTTGAATTCTCTTCTGGACTGAAGGTAAGTTTTCACTAAGTTTCCTGTTTACCTTTGAAATATCATGTATACAATATAATACATAATGTTATGTTATGTGACTTTTCTCAGAAGAATCTGAGATGATGCTTGGAATTATCCACATGGGGCTTTTATTGATTTGTTTTAACTTAAGTATAGTGTAACTGGTTGAAATAACACCGTGAAAAAAAGAAAATCTTCTTACAAAAATGTAACTTACATATAGCTTCTTATTACAGTATAAAACATATTACAAATATGTTGCTTTCAATATCGGTATCAAAATTTGAGCTTATTTGCATTTACCTAGGGAGCATGAAGAATTTTGTTTCAGGCTGGTTTTTCTGTTTACTGCTGAGAAATGACCTCTAAGCTCCAATACAATATACATCTTGCTGATTTCTTACAGTCTGAAGAAAAGACCAGAATTAAAAATATTTCGACTGTTCCCTAAAAGTCAGACATCTTTTTCTTCAGCACTTTTAATGAGCTAACTTGCCTTTTAAATTATTGAAGCAAGTAACAGTCCAGATCTTTTATCTCTTGTTCAGTTCTTATTAGAACTTACTTATCTCTTTCGTTTAGGGCTAGAAGTGACTTCATACTAGACTGCTGGAAGCAAAACAAAATTTTTAATAAATTGAAGAATTAGGCATGTTCTCCCATCAGTGTGGGGAAGGATATATGCATTTGATGTAAAAGCAAAATATTGAATATTGTATTGTTACAAATAAGATTGAGGCAGGCTCTGTCCAGTGTTCTACACTGTAGCATAATCACATAGATACTTTACTAGCAAAAATTCCCTGTAAGTGTTGATGTGGGTCTTCTCAGGATGGTGTGATCTCTGTCCTAGGGCATGTCCTTGAACTTGGAGCCCGACAATGTTGGTGTTGTCGTGTTTGGTAATGACAGACTGATCAAGGAGGGGGATGTTGTGAAGAGGACTGGTGCCATCGTGGATGTTCCAGTTGGGGAGGAGCTGCTGGGCCGTGTTGTAGATGCCCTGGGCAATCCCATTGATGGGAAGGTAACTATAACTAAGTGTTCACTGTCTTTGTGTACTTCCATGTGATATGGACTGCAGCAGTTTTTCTTTTTTTTTTAAGGGTCCTATTACTTCTAAGACACGAAGGAGAGTTGGCTTAAAGGCCCCTGGGATCATTCCCAGGATTTCTGTGCGTGAGCCTATGCAGACTGGTATCAAAGCTGTGGACAGCTTGGTGCCAATTGGCCGTGGCCAGCGTGAGCTGATCATTGGTGACAGGCAGACTGGGTAAGATAAATGTCTAAGCTGAAATTGTTGCTGTTTCTATAAAACTTGAATGCAGGATGTCTGAATATACAAAGCTAAAACACAAAACTTAGTAGAGGTTGGGAGAACTGTAGGCACCTTAACTCAGTAGTCTCTATGCGTGTTGCACAGGAAAACTTCGATTGCAATTGACACAATAATCAACCAGAAACGATTTAATGATGGGACAGATGAGAAGAAGAAGCTGTACTGCATCTATGTTGCAATCGGGCAGAAGAGATCTACTGTGGCTCAGCTGGTGAAGCGGCTCACTGACGCAGGTACAGACTGGGAGGGGGTTGATCGTGGTGGGAGCTAGTGATTCTTCTGGAGTGGAACAGTTTTTCTGAGAGCTTCCTCTTGGCAGTCAGGCATGCCTGGTTGCAGTTACGACTGATAAGTATTTGTGTGTTCACTGTTTGTTTCAAATGGACTTCGTGAATGGCAATTGCAAGTTTAGTGGCGAGATTTCTGTTGCCTTGTGTAAGGGATTAAGTGATGACACCTTTTTATAAATGCAGCCGTGGTAAACAAGGTCATCATATGTAACAATGTCTTGCAAATTTTAGGCATTTTACCTCTTGGCTGCTAGTCAAGTAGGAGTCGTAAATATGTTTCAGCAATACTAATTTGTTTGGAACTATGGAACAAAAGATTCTTAAGGTAACTTCTTGCAGGAGTCAGGAAGCCATGGACTTCTAGGCCCCTGACTTCTAGAGCTTAAATGTCTTTAGTCCAAGTCTGAAATTAATTTTAAACGGGAAAGAAGTCTAAGTGTAACTTCCATAATTTTGTTTTTACAAGTGTTACACCTGACATAGCAATGTAGCATAACATTTTCTCTGCAACAGTGTAGTGATGCTGTGTGCTCTCCCCTCAGATGGTTTTGTCTGCCTTGTGACTAATACTTCAATTGTATGTGGAGTTTGTTTATTGCTGGCATAATATACTTACGAGTCTACAATTCTTTCCAGATGCCATGAAGTACACTATTGTGGTTTCTGCCACGGCGTCTGATGCTGCACCCCTTCAATATCTGGCTCCCTACTCGGGATGTTCCATGGGGGAATACTTCAGAGACAATGGCAAACATGCTCTTATCATCTACGATGACTTATCCAAGCAGGTCAGGACACATTGCTTGCAGGCTGCATAGTCTAGTGTTGATGTGTGTAGCTGCAAGATCAGCTCAGGTGGTGGTAGGCAAGTTTTCAAGTGAAGTATCCAAGCCTGAGACTTGCGTTTGTACCATGCAGGCCGTTGCCTATCGTCAGATGTCTCTGCTGCTGCGTCGCCCGCCTGGTCGCGAGGCCTACCCGGGCGATGTCTTCTACTTGCACTCTCGCCTGCTGGAGAGAGCAGCCAAGATGAATGACTCCTTCGGAGGTGGCTCTCTCACTGCTTTGCCTGTCATTGAAACTCAGGCTGGTGATGTGTCTGCTTACATTCCAACTAATGTCATCTCCATCACTGATGGGCAGGTAGGACTTGCTTTACATATGTCAGTGCTTCTGTGTAATTTTGTAGCAGATCTCTTAAGTTTTCTGGTTTTTGACCAAGATAATAACTTTTTTCTCCAGATCTTCTTGGAAACTGAGCTGTTCTACAAAGGTTTTCGTCCAGCCATTAATGTTGGTCTGTCTGTATCCCGTGTCGGCTCTGCTGCTCAGACCAGGGCTATGAAGCAGGTGAGCGTGGAACTGTTACTCATCCATAAGATCTAATTTCCCGAGTCTAATCTTAGATCCTTCCCATCTTTTTAATAAGCTAGGAAGTGTTTAAAATGATCTCTATGAAGTGGAAACGATCCAGTGACAAGGGAAAGATTTGAAGTGTGAACTGTAGCACATGCTACAAGGTTAAACAGACTGGGTTGTTTTAGTAATAATTCTCTGTTCAGATTTCATAAAATTACATGATTTGTTCAAGATTCACTTAGTTGATAGGCAAAGCAAAAATGATCTGTGATAGCTGTCAGCTGAAGATAACCTGCCAACTATTAGTCAAATTTCCAAACTGGTCAAACTCACTGATTTGTCTTGTCTTGTAGGTGGCAGGTACCATGAAGCTGGAATTGGCTCAGTATCGGGAAGTAGCTGCCTTTGCTCA